AGAAACAATTATCCTGGCACTTAGTGAGAAGCCCGGTATGCATGAGAAGTGGTAGATAAGATCAGATGTTTCATTCTGTAAACAAATATGAAAATATCCCCAATTTTCCTTTGCTGGAAGAGAGCAGAGAGGAGAGCAGAGATCCTGAGGCGCCGGCAGTGCCAGGACAGTCCATCGCGCTGCCTTCCACGAGTCACAGGCAGATCTTCTCTCCTGATAAAACATAATAAACAAAATTAGAATAATAAAATGCTAATTTAATTTTAAAGAGGCTTCTCCCCCTTTTTTTTTTTTTTTTTTAATAGGGAGTCACATTGTTACAGAGAGAACAGTTATGCTAATGATGAAGCACTTAGCTGATTTCACATTAATATAACAAACGTTACCTGTCCTAATGTGTTGTGCAGTATCACGGCAGAATAACCGAGTCTAAAAGTCAGATTCCGTTTTGCATCATGAACCAGAATGGCAGCTTCTGCCTGCACAGTTCCATCGGCAGCGTTTTTTGGCTGTTATTTGCAGGCTGACGTCTCATGTCACAGAGGTTTCAGGCTCAGGGTCCTGTGCTCAGCACTGCGCTGCTGGGCTCTGCTTTGTGGCACCGAGCTTTTCCCTCTGCCAGCACGGCTGTGCTTTCTCTTCTGCTGTGACACGAGTGCAGCTATTTTACATTCTTTCAGTCAGGAATTTTTTTTAAATTGCAAGAAGTCTCACACGTAATAGCTTTCTACTAAAGCAGCCGAGGGAATTGTTTGGGTTTGCCTCGCCGTGTCTATTTTTCTGGCAGTCCGACACCTTTAACTGCGACTCAGGCACTCGCTTGGTGTTGGGCTGCGTTCTGCTCCGTGTCACTTCTGCCACAAAATCTTTAACTGAAGAATTGCCGTTTGGAAAAGCAAGGTGCCTGCTCTGAGGACTTCCTGAATTCAAGTGCGAGCACACAGCGCAGGAGAAGGGGATTTTCTGGCAGAGCTGTTCTCTATGAATTGAGGAGATGCTCCCCAGCTTCCATGCGTGCCTGCTAGCAGCTGACAAGGCCACCGGCGCACCCAGCAATGAAGGCACGTTGTTTGAAAATGGCATGCTTTTTTTTTTTTTTTTTTTTTTTTCTGCACTCCGTATAAGATTGAGCTCCTTGAAATTTTTTGGCTAGTATTTAATTATATTAATATCAGAGAAAATGGGGGAACGTAGATGATTGAGTAGGTCTAAATCATTTCCATCCCCGTGACACTTGTCTGAGCAGTGCGCGGCGGTGACAAATGCATCCCAGCTGTAGTCTGTGGTGAAGTTAAAGGCGAGCTTGGCCCAAGTTGTGCAAGGTTCCCCAAGCTGTGCAAGCGGAGCTCGGGGTGGGGAGAGGAGAGAACAGGCAGGCTTGAGAGGTGTGGAGCAATGGCAGAGGGACCTGGGAGACAGAGTGGCTGAAAACAATTTTGAGTATTAAAGACGTTTTTTGCCGTTGCTGCTATTAGCATGTCAGCAGGTCTGTACTAGCACAGCTCCCAAAACTGACTTGCAGCTGTATTTTTACCTTTGCTGCCAGGTTTACATGCAGCTGGGTATCTACCACACCCCATTGTTATCAGTCAACAATACCAAAAGTGGTTCATTAATCATATCAATAACAACAATCGTGTTTCATGTAGAAAACAGAAATAAACAACTGGGGGGGGGGGGGGGAGAGGAAAGATTGATTTCTGTCCTGCATGCTAAGTTAGCATTCTTTAAATACATCTGCCAGTACTTTAATTTGAACTTCAACTCCCTGAAGGCAGTAAGACAGAATTATTTTAGTTCTTCATAAACTGCCTTCTGTGATTCATTGTTAACTCATAAAACACACTCATTTTCATGTACTTAAACAGTTAAGCCATTTTCAAAGTTGGTTTGTAATTTTTTTTGGCAACACATTTAAGTTGACATCTGAGAGATAGAAATCTACAATTAATTTATAGCCTTCAGTTTAGGTTTCGTTTACTATCAGACAAAATATCAGAAATAAATATTTTTTATCTAACGTAATGCAAAGTATATTGCGCAGTATCTAAAATAAAGCTTAGTTTTGACTGAATACACTCAAAAAGGGACCCATAAATATTAGAGAGCTGTAGTTAAGAACTTACATGACTGTTTTAAATACTATTGATTTAAACCACTGGCTAGATTTTATGAATCAAAGTGTAATTTCCAAGCTTTGGCTATATTTCTCATCGCTAAAGCACTCTCTCTGGTGTGCCTTTAGCAGCTTTCCAGACATTCAACACGGGATTAAATGATAGTAGTTACAATGATCAATAGGTTAAGACCGGTACAATCACTCTTACCGCTAATGACCTCGGTAGTAATGGGTAATAAAGTGTGGGCTATAATAGCCTATTGCTGGAGCTGCATGCCCTTTGATTCCCAGTATTACTAGGGACTAGCTACATGAAAAAGTTGGACGTTGGGAGTTAAGAGAGTGGATATATAGGCCATAATTCTTAACTATTTAAAGGCCTCCAACAGTACGTGTGCCCACGCTTGTCTGGGGCGCGTGTCGTTTTTAACACGGCGGTTTCTGGCTTGTTTGAATTTCCTTGCTCTGTAGGATGGCTTCCACCATGAGCCAGAGTTCAGGGGAAGCGCAGCTGCTGCCTGCTCTGACAAATGAGAGGCTGGACCTTCTTGGAGCCACAGGCGGGGTGTGCAGATGTGGTTTCAGCCGGTAGAAGAAGGTCGAGCAGAGCAACGCAGACCTGTATTGCTAGGTGGGCCTTGTTTATTCACACGTTTGTGAGTGTTTGTATACACACAGACACGTTGCTTCCCTCCCTGGTTAAGTGCTGCTGTTTGAGCAGAGCGTGAGCAGCTGGGAGATTCTTCACCGGAAGGTACGTGGCCGCCGTTCAAAGGCAGGGCCGAATCCCGAGATGTGTCCTGAGATAAATGTGCAAAGGAGCAGTGGAAGTGAATGGGAGTTGTCTCCGCGTAGCTGCTGGCAGAATGCGGCCCCGCGTATTAATCACCCGCACGTAGGGTTTACAGCACCCCACCCTATTCCTGTCTGTATCCCTGCTTGTCGTCATAAATCTGACCGAGGAGTATTTGTGTTGTATGTCTTCCAAGAATGGCACAGAAAACGTACTTAAACATGCTTCCTTTTCTGTTTGCTCAGTCCGACTTCAGTGTAAGGTAGTACAAACCCCAGGGTAAAGTAAACTTCTCTGAGGATGGGAATAATGAAGGTGAGTCAGGCTTCGGGGCTAAGATAGTGACTACAGCACTTAATTGAAATAATTTTCTACTCCCAGAAAAGTTCTTAACAGCGTCTGGATTAAGATCCTGTGAATTGATGGGATTCCCTGTTCCAGTAGGTCGGTGCCGTCACAGCTCGGGGCGGTGGTACCGCACTGCCAGGTTGGTGGTTCTCCCAGGGCTGCAGTCTTAGAGGGACTCTGGCTATGATGACACCTCCCATCCTTCGCTGTCTGTTTCTCAACCTTCACACCTGCCTGCTGCAGTGTGGGCAGCACCAGGTCCGTGCTGGGGCGCAGGGGATTCGCTCCGCGCCGCATTAATGGGATGTCAGTTTGCTGGATGTGTCTGCAGCACGTTCTGTAGGCAGGGTCTGGCCCCAGCGCATGACATGTACACAACAACACAGGGCGATGTGTGCTGTACATAAGTCTGACCTTCAGGAACCATTTTTAGTTCATCAAAATTAGTGATGCTGAGAAATCAGGACATCAGTGCATAATGACTGTGAAATTAGGAATGAGAGCTTGCTATGCAAATGACAGGACAAATCATGTGAAAAAGTCAAGATAAACTGCATATTAAGACATTATGTTACATAAAATTAATACTGCATTTCTCCCTTGCTTACTAGTACCCAGGAAGACTTTTTTTTAAGCTCTTTTATCTTCAGATCAGCTATTGTCTGCTGATTTTTTAAAAAGTGGTGCACAGAAAAAGTGCTAAACATGTTATTACCTTTTATTGTAACCCATGAGATGACAGGAGATCCTTTTTAACAAAGTATATCCTTTACTGCTTTTAGTTTTGTGCTGTCACATATTTGATCTGAAACTATAGAAAAGTAAGGTGCTTAAATATTACTGTTAAAACTCACAGGGTTTTGTCTTTTCTTCTATTGTTTTTTTTTCTTCCTTTTCTTTTCCTTTTTTGGGGTGGAGGATAGAGGGGTGGGTTTCTGGGGAAATAGTCTTCTTGCATTACTAGGACTGACAAAATGGTTCTCATGTAGTCTGCAAATTAAACACAAGTGCAGTGATTATTTTGAATAGCTAAATTACATTCTAGAAAGCTTGCAGAATTCATAGCATTGTCATTAGGTATCCGCTTGAATACAATTTGTGTAACCTTGGCCAAGACAGCCTGTCATTTTAATGTCAGTGTTTTATCTGAACAAGACATCATCCTTTCAGATACAGTGTACAGGTTCCTTGCAAAGATGCCCATGCAGAAACGTGTTAACAGTTGCAAATATGAAATGCTATCAAGTTCATCACTGTAGCTGTTTGTCACTGAAATGTCATGGAAAGCGGCTTTTAATGGTATCTCACATAATATGAAAGAATTGAAGACATCTGTATGCTGGGTGAATATGGAATGGTAAAGACATCGCAGTAGGGCCTTTCTGTTAAAATTGCATAGGAGTGTAGTGCTGTTATTCACATCACTGAGCCTTCCTTCAATTTTCTTAAAAACCTGTCGTAATAGGGCCTAGATCCCATCAGCACAGGATACTCGGCTCTTGAATTTCTGTACGGCAGGGAGGGACTTTCTGGGAGGGAATGTTCTGAGCTGACAGTTCCCTGTGAAAATAAATAAATCTTAACAGGTTTTGCTGTCTTGCTGTCTAAAGAATTCCCATTGTCATAATGCTCTGCAGAGAGGAAGCTGGGTGGCTGGGGAAGCACAGGTCCCTCTGTGCTCAGGGCAGGTTGTGCCTCCTGCTGTGATGCTCCCTGACCACCATTCTGTGTCCCCTGCAGGTTCCCGTGTCGGTGGCTATGATGACACCTCAAGTGATCACTCCCCAGCAAATGCAGCAGATCCTCCAGCAACAAGTGCTAACTCCCCAGCAACTCCAAGTCCTGCTCCAGCAGCAGCAGGCACTCATGCTTCAACAGGTAATTGTTGTCTGTGCAGCCCCTGTTGGGTGGGGGGCTTTGGCTCGTGCTGCCTTCTGGCGATGACGGCTGCCCACGTCTCAGGGTCTGTACTGCAGGGCAGCCACGCTCTGAGATGAACCGACTGCTCTTTTGTTTTTAGTTCTAGAAATAGCTACTGGAAACAAATCCAGGGAGCAGTGCTAGGAGCGTTTCCAAGATCAGCTAAATAATACAGCTGCATATTTAAGTGTCAGGACTTCAGCAGATGTCCCTGCTGATTTTGCCTGCATCCCTCCGAAAGTACGGCGTGCCCTGATTAATTGGAATAAATGAGGTAGTAGGGTAATATTTCCAATTTTAGTCCTTGCTACGTCCACGTGGGGCCGTAAAGGGCCGTTGAAACAGGGACAGCAAAAGTGAAGAGGTTTGCAAGCCTTAGTCCGTTTAATTTCAGCCAACGTGCGCTGCACGGTGCATTGGTGTTTCTGAGTGTCCTGCATTCATGCATGGCCCTTTCTCAGCTGGAAGTTGTGTGCTGTCCCTGGGTTACTGCAGGGCTCACGTCGGCACGGGCTCATGAGTCAGGCTGGTAAGAGCACCCACCAGACTGCACTTGTGTGTCCCCTCCCCTCTGCCTTCGTCCCACAGTGCAGCGTGTGCGGTGTGTGGCTGAAGCAGGGAGGAGGAGAGTGTTTCCCAGAATGTCTGTGCATGTATTGAACAACACTTAATATAGTCAAACCCTATCATTTAGAAAGCATGTGTGTTTCACAACAGAGATTCGCCAGGCTCTCTCAGCAAGGGCATTTTGGCTTTGTTGTTACAATCAAAGGTCATTCCTTGCCTTATTTTAATTAGTTTGTGTAGAAAATGGTATGTTTTTCATCAGTTCATTTTGGAGATTACTTTTCAAACGATAATGCCAAGAATAGTCAGTGTGCACTGAATTTATTGTCGAGTTTCAAACTAAAGGTCAGACCATTACAGATAAAAGGATGCTATTTTTCAAATCACAGTTTGTGTGTTACACCAAAAGGGACACTGAATTGGCTCTCCACTTTGTTACTTACCATCTTTCCTTTTCTTTGTAGCAGCAGCTTCAAGAGTTTTATAAGAAACAACAGGAACAGTTGCAGCTTCAACTTTTACAGCAACAACATGCTGGAAAACAGCCTAAAGAGGTACAGACAATACCCATTTTACTTTCAAACCACAGATCCCAGAGGACTGTCTAGAGGCTATTAAGCTGTCATTCATCTTATAAATGATGGCACAACTGAACTGACTCAATCGGGTCTCAGCTTTCAGATTTAGAGTTATTGTCCTGTTTTCGCCTGTATTTTCCTGTGCTTTCCATTTGCTTGCTGCCACATATTTTATAGCTGGGGAACACGCCTTGATGTTCAGTATGAGTACTGGAGCAAGCATCTGGACTTGTATCTTGGGAGAGTGCTTTTGGAAGTTAGTTATGTTGTAGAGGGGAGGGGGCAAAGAAGCAGGCCTAGCTCTGGGCCTGTTCTCTCCAGGCAGACAGTTCTGTGAGATTTTGAGTTTGAACTTGCAGTTTTCAGCCAGAGAGGTTCTGGCTGCAGGCTCCTTGCAGCATGGGCTCAGCAGAAGGTACCATGCTCGGGCAGTGTTTGTTGTGAGCAACAATAACTGAAATACCGAGGTAGGACAGGAATGCCATCTCATTGCAGTGTGTTGTGCCTGGGAACTGCAGCACGTTGTGATGCACAGTGTCTCGAGACCTTGCACAGATGCCACCATGGTCTGTGCTGGGAACAGGATGGCGAAGGCGGTTTTCTGCGTGTATGGAGAACGCACTGGTCCTTTCCGAGTGTCTCACTTCGTTGATGTTGGTGTGCTAAAATTCAGATTTGCTATAGTAACACGTGAAGGTACCACACTGGTATCTGTAGTCCCAAGGAGTTTGAGACTTCCACCTGACATCACCACTGACCAGTGTAGGTCCTAGAAAGCTGCCCGCTGGCACGAGATGCTGTGCAATGCCCGCCGATAGCAGCAGTGGTTACGTTGCTGATCACAGTGCTCGAAGCACGTGCCAGTTTCTGGCCCTCCCAAATTTTGGTGGATCGTGCCACCTGTGCCAAGTTTCAACCTGGAGCGAATTTTTCCAGCTGAGTTATAAACCCCTGAAAACAGGGGGTTTATAATGAAAACGCTGACACAACCTTAGCCATAGTGCGCTTACGGGCGCCTCTATAATAAAAAGGGAACAGATTAAAAAGTGTCTAAAATGTAAATCTAAAGGACTAACAGTAATTAAAATGGAAATGGCACAGGGAGGGAAGGCATGTAATTGTGAGATATCACTGTGCAGAATGCTCTCAGCTTTGTTTTGCTGGCTGTTTTTCTAATTCAGTAGGGCTTACTCATCAGTGGCAGTTCAATGCGCGTTAATGACTCTGGGATGCAGGCATCACTCTGGACAAAGAAATGATTATTGTGCGGTCAAAAGAAGTTCAAAGACAAGAAGGGAATTTCAGTTTTTTCCTTAGAGATCCACATTCAAGAGCATATAAATTAAGCCAAATGTTAAAAACCACAGTCTGAAAGCTGACTTCAAAGTCACAACTCTCTAATTAATGAACTGCGAGCTTCAGTTTGGACAAGTCGTGGTTTGATGCGCCCATAAATCAACATGACAGGTCTGTTTCACAGTCTCAGACAGCGCTTGTCATTGAGTCACATCAGATGTAAACACAGCAGAAAAAAGAGGGAATATGAAGGAGGTGCAATTGATCAACAGAATTGGTAAAAACCCACTTTTGAAACGCATTATGCATGATCACAGGAAATGGCGATAGCCTCAAGAGGCTTTCTCCTTCTGCTGTTGCTTTTTTGAATCAGATTTCTAACAGCCTTCAAAAGGGAGAATAAGAATTATGGAGCTTCTCCCCTGTGGCTGGCAGGCAATAACCCCCTGTTGTTATTTTGTGCTTCTTTCTTTTCAAAGGCGTCAAAATTTAGTTTTTTAAAGATCTTTAACTCTATATTTGAAGACAAACAATAAAGGGCTGCCACTGTCATTCTTATCAGTTACCAGGGATTGTATTTTTTCTTTCTGTTGCCACTTCTTATTAACCTCTTATTTGGTCTATTAGACATAGTTTTGAATGCAAGTCTGCATGCTGGGAGAACATGAAAGTTCAGATGAGCTCAGAGGGCAGATAAAGAAATTTGAAGGGGAAAGTTACACAGCAGAATGAACGATAAAAGTTAACTCTTCTAAATTGCTGTTGTCAGACAGGAGAGCATCTCAGACACAAAGATGAGGGCTTGGAGCTTGAAGAAAAATACTTTGTGTTAAAAAAGACGAGAAGGCAAGTTAGACAATGTGATGGCATTTCAATATCTAACACACTGGTTTACTGCGGTCGCACTTCTGATATTACACTATCGAAAGTAACAATAAGAAAAGACTCCTTCCTGTTCTAAGAAGAGCAATTTAACATGCTAGTGGGGAGCAGAACAAGGAGCCTGAGTCTCTCCAGCTTTTTCTAGGCTCTTTTTTTTTTTTTGCTGAGGGTTTCAACAGGGGCCCGTTTCCAGACCAGGCTTGCTTGGCCCCATTTTTCCTGCATGGAGGAGGTTATTTTGGCTGAATTAGCATGCGAGTGATGATGATCTTTTTTTTTTTAATTTTTTTTTTTCCTTTAACACGAATGATGGTGGGTCCCAAAGTGCATCGTGTGGCCTGGTGGCCGCAGTGCGGACACGGTGCGGCTTTGTGCGCTGACAGATGGAGCAGCTCTACCCATCTACGTCATTCTGTATCACGGCACGCACGGCTGGTGCTGCTGCCCCATCCCAAAAGGAGGCATACACACCCTGTGCCCACAGCCTCACACTGGAGAGGGCCCAACACGGGGGGCTCATGGCCACAGCGCTGCCTCCAGGCCCGGCTGTGTGGGACGGCTCCTGGGCACGGCCGTGTTCCTCCAGCGGTTGCGACAGTTTATGTTAGGCTGTAGGGAGGGACCGAAGAAAGGAAAACAGACCTTTGACAGCAGCTTCAGGGAGGGGACCAAAAATGCGAGTTTTATCAGGCTATTTCAGCATTTTAACACTGACTACTGACCTGACAACAGGACTGCACTGAGACCTTTTTTGTATGCATTCAATTGTGAGAAGTAAACAAACTGACTTGTATCCTGTGTTTGGTAACTGGGTGGGGAGCGCAGTTTGGCAACGCGTGTTGCTTTTAAATTCTTTCTTGGACAATGGGCCTTGTATACTTTTATATCCTGGCTTTTCAAAGTAGGGCGCGTTCAGGAGCTTTTCTTGGGATGGCTGAGAAGACAACCACAGGCATCACTCCATTTATATAAAGTCGTTTTTATGGTCTTTCTTTTTTGATGCCAATTTTGCACTCAGATGGCAAATAGGTAAAACACAGACTACTGTAATTTATTTTGTTCCACAAAAAACAAATACCACTCACATACACACACACACACACACAGACTGTGTATTAATTAAAGGTGCCTTCTTGCTCTGAAGATTCTATGATTCTGTGTATATTTGGAGTATGAGCATCTCTGGAGGCAAACACTGCTCTAACTGCAGTACGACCGTTGCTGCAGCTCACATTCATCCAGCGCTGTTGCAACAGCTGGATCTGTCTGAGCAAGCTGTGGCAGAGAAATGGAAACTCCGAGTTCCAGTATAGCTAAACTCTTGTTTGTTTAACTGTTCTCAAAGTTATAGATTTTCTCTGGATAGAAGAAAAATTAACTTGCCTGTCAGTACAGTTGTAGGCATGCAGTTTGTTGTAGTACAAAGATCGATGGGGTGTTGAAAGTACAAAAAAAGCAATAGGAATTTAATAAAAATAGTTGCTGTTGCCCTTCGCTTTGCCCAGCGATGTTTCATTTCACAAGCAACTGGCAGTGCTGTGGCTGTGTCACGTTCAGCCTGGCAGGCCGGAGCTGCAGTGCCTTGGCAGAAGGTGGGGCCCCGGCCCCTGGCTGGTGGCCGTCAGCCCCGCTCCTCTGACCCGGGTGGATGTTTCCTGCTTGACACCAGCAGGGAACGGGGCCAGCGATCCTCTGCTGCGATAGCGGGGAAGGGCAGCAAAGCGCTCTCGGTGTGGCCAGGGTTTATTTGAGAAAGTGTGGAGTTTTGCAAGAGTTAATTTTCTTTCCGTAACTGTTAGCCATGATGTGTATAAGACCTCCACCTTGATATGATTCCTAGCAGATTAGGGATATTAGATAATTTCCTTCTATTTATTGTACTACTGCTCTGTATTATCTTTCTATCACTCAGATAATTACTAAGGAAATCTACATTAATTTTTTTTGGCTAGCACAAGGAACTGCTAAACACTGGCATGATGTATTGATGTTTTACACAACAAAAGTTTTCCTCCTGTCATTGTACAATAAATAAAAAGATATTTATCAAAACGCAAAGCCTTTCATGGATTTTAAGAACAAAGCAAATAAAACACGAGATGAGCACGGAAGCAAAACCTAGAGGCTTGCTTAACTGCACAAAATTAAGGACTCAGAAGCCTGGAGTACTGTACATATTAAACACTCACATTCAAGTAAGATGTTGTTTGCTAAATTATGAATGTGTGTAATTAAAATCTAGTGGCTGTTTCTATGAAAGATTTACAATGTTATTTCATCGTTTGTCATGGCTAATTAACAATATTAGATGAAGTTTTTCTTCTTCAAAGGTCTGATTTTTTCTCATTTATTTATGTCAGAAGTGATAAACAGAGTAGTTAAAAGCTTCTCTGGGTACAGTAGTGAGAAAAGCAACATGTTCTTTTACACCTCGAAGGTTCAAGGTTCGTGTCCCTGTGGAGTAAAGCAGCTCTGACTTCTTTATAGCGAAAATAATTAAAAATTTCAAAGCACAGAAGTAGCAGCCTTAAATACAGCAAGGAATAATTCTGAACATAGTGGTATTGTTGCTTGATGGATGGATAAGAGAGAGTAAGTGTAGGATAGCATGAATGTAGCCAGTCGTGTTGCCTTAATCGTTGAGATGACCCTTGCATGAGCAAACAGAGCAGGGTACAGGGCTGTTGTTGGTGACGTCCAAATGTGATGTGGTTACGTGGAGTGGCTCTTGCATTGCATTTGTTCTTTGCTTTGAAGAATTGCCCGTGATTCTAGCAGCTGCCAGCAGAGTTTTGCTTTATCTGACACCGAAAGGCAGCTGCTTCTGGTGTAAAGCTCAGTCGTGTGGACGAAGAAACACTGCGTGTGTTTTTAATTGGGTTTGTAGGAGAGATTAGAAATTGACTGCCGCCCTGTTGGTAGCACCAGCTCTTAAGCAAGTCTTGTTACTGGGTGGTGAGCTCACTGTCGTTTCTCAGTACAAGTAACTATGATCAGTAGTTGCTGTGTGTTTAGCCAAGGATCCCTGTTAATGCTTTTCTCTTTGTTGACAAATGTGCATTTTTTTTTTCTTTTCCAGCCCCAGCAACAGCAGGTGGCTACGCAGCAGTTGGCCTTTCAGCAGCAACTCTTACAGATGCAGCAGTTGCAACAGCAGCACCTCCTGACTTTGCAGCGTCAAGGGCTGCTAACAATCCAGCCTGGCCAGCCTACTCTGCCTTTGCAGCCCCTTGCACAAGGTAGGTGAGGGGTTGGGGAGCTGCTGAGCAAGCAGATAGCATGTGCACACCAAATTGTCACTCAGTAAGCCAGAGAGTGATCTCATAGGCTCGTAAAATAAGAAAGAAAGAAAAATCCTGACTGGCAGAGTGGGCATTGTAAAGGTATTCTCGAGAAGGGCAGCGCTGAAACTGTGGGCCATGCTTGTTAGCAGAAGGCAGGCGGTTTAGTTTGGATTCATTTTGCACAGCTATATCCTGGTGAACGTGAAGCTGCTGGTTGTACTATTCTAGACTCAAAATCCTCCACGGGAGGCTTCCTAATAAAGTTTTGGTGCTGGGTTCATGGCTTAGGATAGCTTGAGAGCAGCTTTCCCTTCACTTTTTTGTGAAGTGCTGTCTTGGCTCTTTCTGACTTCATGGCTGGTGCAGAGCTGGGCACGAAACGGTGCTGACCACATGCTGCTGAGTGTGGAAATGAGATTGCCCTGTTCTGCAGCTGGAAGGGGAATGTGACAGTGTCTCCTCTTTGTGCATGTTTATGTGTCCTTCCTTTCACTGCCTGTGTAGATCATAGCTTCGTTCTTCCCTCCACACAAGGCAAATTGGGATTGACTCCATCTAATTTAAATGTTCTTACACTGGTGTTACTGACAATTAGATCCTCCTACGTCTTTATTCAGTCCTGCGCTATGTAAGAAGTCACCGATTTGCTGAAATCCCTATTTTTTTTTTAAGATATTGATACATTGAAAGCAATAGCTACTCAAATCACAATACTTCTGACAGTAATTACAACCTGGATTTTTTTTATTTTTTTTTTTTTTTCTCCATGGCTATATTTATTTATTTATTTATATTCCAACTCAGTTTCTCTGCGAGCTCTGGGGCATTTTAACAGGCATGCTTGAGCTCTGTCTGCTGTCACTGAAGCTGGTGGCTCAGAGTTGGCATGGCTCGGGGAGGACCAGGTCTTTCAGCCAAGATGCAGATATTTCTGAATAGCAGTGCCTTTTCCTTCCCTTTGCCCCACAATAAATTTCAGCACCCACCTCAACAACTGGAGTCAGCTCAGCTTGAAATGATTTGGGCTCTTCAAAGCAGCCTTAAGGCTGCTACTGGTTGCTAAACCATATAATGTATTTACATTCAGCTCTGTTTGGTTAAATGGGGTTGGGGGTGAAATTGCTTCTGTTCTTCGCCCTCCTTTTTTATGTGTATTAGAGCTGCGAAAAGGAGAGCAAGATGGCTGGTAAATGTTAACTGACATGGATAGAGGGAGAGAAAGCTGCTCTGCCAGGTGGCTGGTGTGGTTTACTGAGGCTTATTTTTTGTTTTTTGCATGACCCACAAAGCGTTGGAGCCCCTAACCCTGTCATGGGACACCCACACTCCCAGACTCAGCCCCCTGGTGTGCTCCTAGCTGTGCACTCCTGATATGCAGGCAGGCGGGTTGTGGCAGCAGCAGCTTCTGGCCTGGGACAGGGGTTTGTCAGTCACCATCAGTGTGCTGAGATGAGTTTGGGAAAATGGGCAGGTAGACAAGTGCCACTTATGTGTGCAGAATGTTGTAACACGCATTAATTACGCTTTGGATTTATTGTTGGAAACACCACAAGCTGTTCCCACACGCCCACTGGACTCCAGCTTCAACCTTTCTAATTTTTCCCACAGCTCCTATACTATTAAGTTTGCTCAGTAGGGTTCATTGTGTGGTACATCAGTTGAGCTGTCCAAAGGAGGGCAATTGGGCAGTGACAAGACACGCTCATGTGTAATGTGAAAGAAATGAATGTGGTGATGCATGAAGTGTAATCTGTGCAGTAACACATCGGAGACACCAGTAGGTAATTCAGCAGTCGTGGCATTGATTGATACGGTTAGCAGCCAAGTGCCACTATTAGTCCTCACCGTGTTGGGAAGAAGCCTGTTTATAGCCAAGGGGTGCCAGAACAACACAAACACAAACAGGAGGGCTGGGAGGGCTGCTCTGTGCGGGGAGGTGAGCTGTGGGGTGCGGTGCTGGCTGGGGAGGAACTGGAGGATTCAGGCAGCTTGCAATCCAGCACGATTCTTTTTTATCAGAGAGACGATGGCTTAAAACTGATGTCATTACGAGGTTTAAATCAACTTTCTGCTTGCTTGAACATGGTCACCTGGGTATGGAGGTACAAGGACACAAAGAGGTTGAGCAACTGTTTGTCTTTGAGCTGGTGATACCTGGGGTTGGGAAATTGAGTTCCGTGAGCAGTAATCTGTCAACTGTCCCCACAGCATACATTTTTTAAACCTGTGCCTACATTTTCTTTCATAATGAAGGGGACTGGTTGTCCTGAAAAATGCAACGAGGAGCCAGGGCTATAGTTTAAAATAATTGGTAATGGACACTTCGTATTTAAAAAATATATACCATCCCTTTCTGTTTTCAGAACAGTGGGCAAGAGTAAGACAGATACTGCAAGCGTGCATATAAAAAGGAAAATCCACCCTCTAGTTAATGTAGCTATGAATTTAGTTAAGAGCATCTTGCTTTTTATTCCTAAGTATCTGTAATAGGAATAAATGTTAAGAGAGAATGCTACTTCATAAGTGATTTTTGTTCTGTTTTTAGAACTAATACATCGTTCATAGCTGCATTTTAGTTGGTGTTCTTGCCTATTGTCTTACACAAAATAGCACATTCTTTAATGTTATATTTGTGTGATTTTTGCTGTTCTGTGTTTAGACACACCTATAATCTAGATTTTACATCTCTGCATAGTAGCAATTTAAAAACAAACCGCATTTCAACAGTGCTCTGAGCTGCGAGAGCTCAATCTTCAGTATCTGCAAAATGAAACTGCAAATCGCACCTCAGATCACAAGCAGGTGAAAATAATAGGACTGAGACATCCCAGGGCTGATTGCTCCCATGGATCCAGCAGTTCCAGGTCTGCATCCTGGCACCGGTAGGAAGCGAGTTGGGGCACAAGCAGGAGTGATCTCGGGTAACTGCAGTGCAGTTCTGGGAATCTGACATAAAATTTAGTTCTTGCTATTGAAGTGAAACTGTTTAATGGTAAATTTTGTCACGTATTGTGTGTGTTTTGTTGGATCTGTTCTACTTGCTTTTACCATTTGTTCTATTATTCCATTTAACCATTTTGCTGGATGAGTACTGAGCATACCTTTCAGCTGCCAAGTTCAACAAGCTGGTTAGGAATGCTTCTCAGAAGTTTGAGGAAAGAGGAAGGATGCTTTTTAAAAATTGCTTTTTATTTTTTAATTAATCAACTGATACCAGTGGTGCATTCAGGTCTGAACGATGCGTTGTGAGAGGCGAGTTTGACGTCACACCTAACTCTTCTCTAATATCATCCAAGCTGAAATCCATCTTACTGTATCTATCATTTTTTTCTGCCCAATTGGATTGTTTTCTATTTCTCCTTCAATATATGCAGTTCTCATCATTGCTAATAGGAGTTACACTTGCATAGGAAGTCAGAACAAACCCCTTGACTTTCCCAGGCTCTACAGAGAGCTATGAATATTAAATGTTTGTATTTTGAGTGCTGTATAACTTGCAGGCTTGTCCTGGAGATGAAGCTTGAGTAGATCCAGTAGTGACTGGGAGGGAAGGGAAAGGGGAAAGGAGAAGCAGAGGTGGAGAAAAGGGAGAAGTGCTACTCCCTCAATTAATAAAAGACTCACCCACAGATCCCAGAGAGGGGGTGCATGGGGGGTGGGGAAAAAGGCAAAGAATGACCGCCTTATTTGCTTATTCTCGAAAATAAAAATAGGTGTCGACTCATACGGTCTCATATCAATATGTTATCATCAACAGACAAGTCTATTCACTATTGTTTCAGTTGAGTAAACAGTGGTGTAAGGGTCAGCCGCGCTCGCAGGTAATTGTTAGTGCGCAGACAGTCCTGTCAAGCATGTTAGCTAAAAATACATCCCACACTGTCACTTCGCAAGGTGTTTGAAAATAATAGCCCAGATAGAGCAAAACAGGACATAGGCTTGTGTACTGACCTTTCTCTTTGTTTAATTTGCTCGGAGGTTTAATTTCAGGGGACAAGTAATAATTGAATACGTCTAATAACTAAATGCTCATTTGGGACAGAATCCATCAAAATGTAATTGGCGTTTGGTTCTTATGAAAGGAAAATGACGTGGCTTTGGAGAAGCGGATGTGTCCTAAGAATATCTGCTCACTTAATGTATAAATTGAAGCCTCTTTTATAATATATATTAATTGCAGATATTTAAGGATTTTAGCATTTTTTTGTAGCGAACCGTTACCGGAGACCAACTGTTTTTGTTAATGCTACTCTCAGAAAGGCGGGGAAGGTTATTGGTCTGTCGTGCAATAATTTACTCCTCTTTGATATGCAAACGATCCACGGTGAATATAAAAAAATCCTATCAGACTCATTTCACAGTTCTTAACCACTTAGATTCTCTGGAGTCTATCGCCTCATTAGACCAGTGCTCTCCAAAGCTAGCATAATTAAAATCTTTAACAGTTTAGCAAAGTAAAGATGTTTGGCTGATCACGTTGAGATGATTATCTATCCATTGTATTCTAAATGACAAAAATAAATTAAATTTAGACCTTGGCATTTTTTATTATGTGTTTCAAATGAATATAATGCATACTGCCTTTTTTTTTTTTTTTTCCCCTCCTATTTCAGTTCCTTAGGTTTGGTGAGATGTGTGGCTATTGGAGCTGCTGCCGTACACTCAGAAAATGGCAGATTTCCTCAGGATAGCTCCGGTGCCACAGTTTGCCCCAACAAGGAGCAGTCAGCCAAACCATCTTGCTGATGAGAGACCTCTTTAAAAACATGCAGACTTTCGTAATTTCTTTTGGTCTGCATATTTAAGTGATGCGTCTCTGCTGCTCATTTTTTTCCAAAGCCTTCTGAAAGAGCACTGAAATAGTCTTCGCTTTGAGAACCTGACTTGTCTGATCGTGTCACAAACGTAAGCTTTATCCAAACCCGTGATCTCAGGGGGAGCCCGTGCCATGCTGACGTGTGTGTCCCTGTGCTCCAGGCTCCACTTTATGCCCACTGGAGTTGGCAAAGTTCTCGCTCGCCCTGTCTGCTGAAAGCTACACGCATGTCCCAAGCCTGGTGTCCATTTTGGCACAATAGAAAACAATTTTTTTATGTATTTCTTGAAGCTTATTTTATGTTTTCGTTTTACTTTTGAATGGCTCATTAGCATTGATCTAAGAAATGACAGTAATAATAGTGTTACTTGTATAGAAAGTTATACAGTTTTTCAGTAGACACATCCATCAATTAAGTGAGCAGTTCGAGAAACCAAAATTAATGAGAAAGATAGGTGTGTTAATGAAATAATCATAGTATAATCAATTTGACTGTTAAAATTTGAAAAGCATTTCAGGAAGACAATATGAATTCATAATTTATGTCTAAAAGTGATTAATAAAAACTGTATTTAATAACAAAGCTATTTGTCATCATTTAAAACTTAAGCACAAAATTAGTCATATTGTGGTTCCTGTTGTCATAATAATAAAGCTGAGGGTTTTTTTTCCCTCAGATCTCCCTTCCTTTTAAAAACAGGTTAGACAGTATTTACTTTCCTTAAAACAATAGAAAACAAGCTGACATGAGGAGCAGCCCTCGGCCACCCTTGGTTTGATCCTGGGGATTTCTGCCCGAGTGGGGACTGGGCCCTCCGCTCCAAAAAGGACAGAATATAACAATCACCCAGCTGCTGATGGGGGTGTTGTGTGGTGTGGGTCTCCTTCCCCCAGCCCCATATTTTGCCTTGGAAAGGCGTTGCAGGTAGCACCCCACAAAACACAGCAGGAGATGTGCAGTGTTCAGGATTAGCCTTCAGTTAATAAAAAAAATTACATGCGTGCAAACACACACACACAAAACTAACACTAGGCTTTGTTTACTGACTCTTTGATTTAATTACTGTTTGAAGACGGCCGAATTAGCTGTTAATTGATTTAATTATCCAATTTGTTTGTTTCAGGCATGATTCCAACAGAACTGCAGCAGCTCTGGAAGGAAGTGACAAGCTCGCACACAGCCGAGGAGGCAGCCAGCAACAACCACAGCAGCCTCGACCTGTCCACCACCTGCGTCTCCTCATCCGCACCGTCTAAGACCTCCTTAATAATAAACCCACACGCGTCAACCAACGGACAGCTATCGGTTCACACTCCTAAACGGGAGAGGTAGGTGCCAGCAGAGTTCCATCCATCCTCGCGTCTCGTTGTGCCCGAGATCAGGGCAGAGTTGTTGGGAACAGTGGCCAACCGCCTTGGCCTCAATTTTGTCCTCCGCGTCTGATTTTGGTGTGGTTGAACGGAGTCTCGGCTGGGCAGACTATGCTCCTTTTGTTCAGGTCTTTGTGGCTTGTTAATTGGATCAATGTGGGCACAATTAGCTAATTAAAAGAGCATTGGAGAAGTGGGGGGAAGTGTGAAAAGAGTAGCTGCTTTTTTGCATCACTGGTGGTGTTACTCTTGATGTGCTTTGGGTTTGCAGATGGGAGGTGAGAAGAAATCAGTTGGTCACTACAGGCTGTTGTGCCACACGTCATCCGCTTCTCTGCCAAATTTCAGTGCCCAGCTCATTTAAGACGTTTACCTTTCTTCTCTGTATTTACTTGCTTTCGCAAAGCAGCTTGGACTTGAGTTCACTAGGTTTTCCTAAAACAAAGTGCATTTTGTAAGTGCTGATAAAATTAGCTAACTGGTGTTGTTTGGCTTTTAGAAGTGTGAGTTAATTTATACGTGCTAGTCTTGCATTGTTAGAAGAAATGGCTTAAATCAGGGGTTGTCTGTTGACGTGCTTCTCAGCGCGGGCTCCGCTTTATTCCCGAGGATGCTTTATTGCAGGTTTGTTTCTTTACACCCCCAGATTTCACTGAGGCGTGTCTAACAACATAACTTTTGCTTGCGGTGAGATAGACGGGCCTGGGCAGCAGGGCTGCAGGCGGCAGCGACGCCGACGCTGCGTTGGAGGAGAAGGGTCTCGGGGATCATGTGAGCATCCTCACTGGGCTTCTTTGCATTCAGCAGAGTCCCTTCACCCATCTAGAAACGTTACATCAGGCACTAGTGAAAGCTGGGGTTTATGGAAACTGATGGCTTTGTCTTTCCATCCTCCTTTCTTTCATTAGAAAGAGGATAATGGAATTTTTAAGCCATAGAGTTTATATTTCTGGTGGCCTGAAAGTGGATTGATAGGGAAGCTGTATAAATACCTCTTATATCTTTCTAATATTAAGAAAATAGTGCTGTTGGGAATAGATAGGTTTTAAAGAAGAACGCACACGGCGTTCAGAAGTGCTGTGTGTGCAAGGCATCTTTTTCTATCCGTTGCAAGGACGTGTGGCAGAATGTTGGTGCCTACATTTATAGTGCATGCAAGTGTCAAAGATGTGGTTTTGGTGGAGACTGACATGGGATGCTAAAAACCAATTGATGTTTATTAAACAATTAAGTTCCCTTTCTACCGCATGCAGAGCTGAACAAGATGGTTTTATGACTCCAATAGATTTTTAACCTGTTTGTCCTAATTTGTAAAGAAAAATCCCATGCAGTGAAGTGGATGTTCTTGCAGTGGATGGATGCACGTGTTGTCTGCTAATGACAGTCTAGCTGGGGAAACAAACACCATTGCTGTGTAGTTTGAAATGCAGAGGAAATGAATGAATCTACTCTGAAGTAAAAATTTCTCAAGTACTCACTATCATGCAGAACTGAATATCCATATGTTTGAGTGCTGTTGTGTAATTGTGGCCTGGAGGGAATTGGGATCTACAAACAGGGAGATACATGTGTTTTTATTAGCGAAATTCCAACTAAATGAGCTAGGAATGCATAAACATGCCACAGTATTGTTTGAGACTGAATGAGGTTAGAAGACTTAAGATCTTCTGTTGTTGAATTGATAGCTGCATTGTTAAAGCTTGTCATTATACTTTACTTACATTTCTGTTGAGTTCTCTTCAGTATCAAAGTAAAAAAATAGGTACAGTTAGGAATATGAATAAGAGGACTACAGACTTTGCTTTATCTTGCCTCTGTTTGGTACACTGAGGGTTTGCGCCATTTGCTGCAGTGATTGAATTAGTCTTTATCCGTAAGTAGAGCAGGAGACTCCAGGCAGAAGAATGCCTCCTGATGCACTTAAGGGTTGTGTTGCAGTCTCATCAGGCCTCGTGGTGCCTGCCTGCTTTTCTTATGACGCAGGGGAAACACCTTGTGGTTTGGATGTGTTTCTTTCTGAAGGGGTATTTTGTGTACAGGCAAGGCATTTGAGGTGGCAAGTGTGCAGGGAGAGAAGCGCAGGTGCATTGCAGTGTTGAAAGCCCTCAGGAGGTGAAGTTTTAGCTCGGTTACAAAAGGGAGCGTAGGCCCAGGCAGAGCTTTGGTTGCCTTCTGATTGCAGAGATTAAGGCTGGAAATAACAGTGGATCTGGTGGGAGCGTGGCTTGGCTAGGCTTGCAAGCAAATGTGTGCTGATTCCAGTGCCCAGCTAGTTCAGCAAAATGGCTGAGCTGCACATACAGCAGACCCCAGCCCATCGTCGGATCAGGGGCGGCTGTCGGTTTTGAGTTTGCCACTTCCCTTACCTCCTCCCTTATGAGCCAGCTTCCTGCATCCATCACCCCATGATGGAGAGGCAGGTACAGCAGGGTTGGGCACCTGCTGAGCTCCCACAACTTGCTCACTTCTGTAGCGTTTTGTGAGATGTGTGTCATGCTGCTGCCCTGCATCAGGGGGCTTATTGTGACTTAATTCACCCCAGCATCACTGAGGGGCAGAGGGGTGGTGCGGATGTCTATGTTGCTTATGCAGCACCAGTGAAGTCAGCTGTTAGCTCCCATCTGATAGAACCAAGAGCTGTTTATTTGGATTTAAACAACAATAAAAAGCACATAGTAAAAGCTGTAAGTGTCCTAACAGTTAACCACAGCCACATCATAACGACTGCCCGGCAGCCATAAATAATCATATACAGGTAACATTAACTTTTAGGGTGTGCTGTAAAGCTGTTTCCCCCCACCCTCGTGGGCTTTTGAGAAGAAGGAGTAGGCTGCAGGAGGCAAGTCAGTTATGTGGGAGTTACTGTCATTGCTGTCATTGCTGGGTTAGTTCCGGCTGTGTTTTATGGGGTTCCTGATCCCACTGGTTCAGACTGTGAGCCCTGGGAAGCAGGAGCCACTTGTCTGACTGCAGTGGCAGCAGAAGTACCTGCGTGAATGTCATCAGCAGGCAGGAACTCAGCTGAATATGTTGGGTGTAAAAGCACATTTTTGCCATAAATAAGTTTTAAGATAGCAGGGGAACTGCGGTAATTGGCTGCTTGGCGTGCCCACACATTGCTGTGCCACACCAGCCCAGTGCCACCGTTGTGCAGGGTGAAGCTTTGGTCCCATGCAGCTCTGCTGTCACCTGCAGACCTCAGAGCTAAGAGATGAGAAGCACCCCTGTATGGCAAGAAGCTGAGGTCAGGAGTTTGGCAGAAGTCACCCTGGGCCGTGGCCGTACTGCAGGGCAGCGGAATGCTCGAAAGCAAAAGGCAGCCTCTGCTTGTTTGCGTGGTGGGGGGATCATGGTGCTGCTCTTGGGCTGCGTGTGTTCTGTGTATGTGGCTTTCACAGTAATGAAATGATTCCAGCTATAAATAATGGGTTAATGCTTTCATTCATTTGGGTTTTAAATGTATATTACATCTATGCTTTTGCCCCACATTTCGCCCAGTTCCTGTAAGTAGCGGCAGCAGCAGCTCTGGGGTTTGGTGCATAGCAATCTGTTAAGGAGATAAATAATCTGCTTTGGCATGACACTCCTACTCTCCTCTTTAATTTGTCTTACACAAGGAAAATTATAATTAAATCATTCAGGGTAAACCCTTGAGTGTAGAGAAGGGAAAAACACACTTTGGTAAAGATTGCCAATAGAGACCAACTTCCCTGTTGTGCCGTGCGGAGACATTTATCAATATTCAGCACTATTAAAGAGAGAACATTTCGTGTGATTTGTGAGGCGGATGCCAAAGCTCAAATCAAGGCTTGTTAAGATCCTTTCCCCATGCAATCATGGGCATTCAGCATCATTAGAATTCAGCACTGACTGCGTGTTTCATGCTTTGATTTTACTCAGACAATTTAATAATGTTTATTGTGCTGATTATATATATAAATTCACTCAATGCAATAAACATACCTCAGACATCAGTACCCTAAGGGAAATATTTAGTTATAGAAACTTGTAGTCACTCAGGATAAGCAAAAGTGAGACCATAGCCAGCATACAAACCTCTCATCATCTTATCAGCATTTGGGTTTCTTCAGTAACAAGCATTTTCTCTCTCATAAGTAAATAAATACATATGGGCAGCCAGTTAGGTACATCTGCTGTGATTAGCAATGTCAAGGACAGGACCGTGTCATTCCGTCTTGTCTTCCTGAGGAAAAGCTTGTTCATTTTCATAGGAAAAGCAGCAAAACAGAACTGATGGATGTGTGATCACTTTGAGGTGACCGTGGCCTTTATAAGCTCAAAATTATGTCCCAAAATCTCCAGCAATTCCATGCTTGTCCCCTAATTGTTTGTGTCCGTTCCTACCCTACTTGAGCCTTGACCTAGGCAAGCGGACATCTCAGGGAAGATGGATGAGAGAAGCGAAGGGGTTTTTAAATCGCTTCTCCTTGAGAGGTGCTGCAGGAGGAAGGAGTCCAGAGAAAGCTCCGAAGGGGAGCGAGGTGTGGGCATGGCAGGCATTGATCCGCTGCCTCGGCTTAGTGCTTTGTGTCGTGCTGTCGTTATCTTCCGTGCCAGCTGATCCTCCATCAAAATCCCAGGGCCCTTAGATGAGGGCATTAGGATTCGGCACAATTAAGAAGTACAGATTTTGGTCCATTATTAATGCTCGGGATGAAAAGGTTCAGCCTGCAGTCCATATGCTCCCCTCTTCTCCTGGCCGGCAGTCCCTGGCTCATTCTGCTCTGGTGCCAGCATCACATTGCTCGGCCCTTCCGGCTCCTCACAGCTGCTGGGCGATGTGGGCTTGCTGGGCAATGTGGGCTTGCTGAGCTCTGCCCTCAGCACAGCTTCTCTGAGGAGGTTCACTTCAGATCCAGAATCGGTCACACGAGGCCACTTGCATCAGTCTGTCCGGCAGATCTTCTGTCACACGATGGCTTTCAGAGAGTTGTTCT